ATGTAAACAAAATTACAGAAATACCATATATTGTATAATTATATATTGCATATTTTTATAACATATATAATATACAATATTAATACAAATTTATAGAAACACAATATGATAATTATTTTGTAAGTCTATTATTAACATCCCAGCTATTAAAATCCCGGCACCTAAAATTCTAAAAACATCTAAGCTTATAAATCTGTTACTAACAGTGAGGGTTAAATTATAGGCTGGGCGCAGTGACTCAACGCCTGTAATCCCAGCACTTTGGGAGGCCAAGGCAGGTGAATCATAAGGTCAGGAGTTCGAGACCACCCTGGCCAATACAGTGAAATCCCGTCTCTACCAAAAATACAAAAAATTAGCTGGGTGTGGTAGGGGGCGTCCATAATCCCAGCTACCCGAGAGGCTGAAGCAGGGGAATCGCTTGCACCCAAGAGGCAGATGTTGCAGTGAGCCAAGATTCTACCACTGCACTACAGCCTAGGCGACAGTGTGAGACTGTCTCCAGAAAAAAAAAAAAAATTATCTATAATCTTTAAAGCAAGAATGCATTTTCTGATTTTTTTTTTTTTATTATAACAGCTTCTCCACAGAAAAACAGTACTCTGGGCTGAGTGTTCTCAAAATTTATTTATGTTTATAAGCACATAAACTTAAGTATTCTCCCTATTTCACACAGAGAAAACTGACGTTCAAAGGCAGCAGTCTGCCTGAGGGCATACATTTGGAAATAGGAGAAATAATAATCAAACCCAGGTCTCCTGATTCTTAGTTTACTGTTATTTTTATTATGTTACAGTTTCCTTCTTAGAACTTTAGGTTTCTCGCCATTGACACATAGATTTGATGATTAAAAAATTAATAGAATCCATATAAGTCAGTTCAAGTCAAGTCCTCTAAGGTGGGTAACTATTCTCAGAATGAGCTATTGCCTATTATTTCTAATTATACTTAAAATTAATATAGAACCTTATTAAGTGTCAAAATTAGTCTTGTTCTTATTGTGAATAAACAAGCTTCAAAAAGTGTGTCATATTCAGATTTTTGTCAACTGTTAAGAATTCATTTAGATAATAATTCAGCTTACATTAGCAATACAATTACCAATACAAATTTGTCATTTAAAGAAAATACAGTACTAAAAGAAAAATAAAACAGGCTGGGCACGGTGGCTCATGCCTGTAATCCCAGCACTTTGGGAGGCTGAGGCGGGCAGAGCACAAGGTCAGGAGTTCGACACCAGCCTGGCCAACATGGTGAAACCCCGTCTCTACTAAAAATACAAAAAATTAGCCGGGTGTGGTGGCACATGCCTGTAGTCTTAGCTACTCGGGAGGCTGAGGCAGAAGAATTGCCTGAACCTGGGAGGAGGAGGTTGCAGTAAGCCAAGAGCGTGCCCCTGCACTCCAGCCTAAGTGACAGAGCCAGACTCTCACTTATTTTGTCTCGGAAAAAAAAAAAAAAAAAAAAAAGAAGAAGAAGAAGAAAGAAAAATAAAACAAACAAAAAAAGAAAATGCAATACTACTTTTTCAAATTTTATTCATCATTAACCAATTATATCTTGCTAAAATTAAAACAAAAAACTATTCAGAATTGAATTTTCCATAAACTAGTAGGGATGCTCCATAAAAATAATTTAAAACACAACGAAATGTCATTTAACTGCTTAAAATAACACATTTTCAAGTTTTGATTTTTTAAGTCATATGTGCTAAGAAAATTTGTCTAATTTTAAAATTCTCTTTAAAACATTATTAGTAAAATTTAAAACTGAAACCTAGAAATCTGTTGAAAAGTTACTGTGTATTAATTTAAAGATGGAAAATCCTTCAAACTGCTTATACTAAGGCCAATGTGAAAACCTTGAACAACCAGTTTCATTTTTAATGTTTCAGTTTCAAACACAGTACTCAAAATAACGTAATTCTTATACAATGACAGCAAAGTTGTTTCAGACAACGGATGTTTCACTAAGTTGCCTAGAATTTAGTGTCTCTACACTCAAAAACTTAACCGGAATCAAACAAAATAAGATATATATTTCCTGCCTTATTCTATAACCTTAGACAAGACAAGTTACATGCCTTTTCCTATTCATGACAGAGACTAAATAGACCATGACACATGACGACGGGCCAGCTGGAGTCCAGAACACAGTCAATCCTCAACATCCATGGGGGAATGGTTCCAGGAAACTCCCATACCAAAATCAAAATCCAGGATGCTCTAATTCCTTATATAAAATGGGACAGTATTTTCATATAACCTACACACTCCTCCTGCACACTTTAAATTATCTCTAGATTACTTATAATACCTAATACAATGTAAATGTTATATAAATAATTGTTACTTTTTTTATATTATTTTTCTTTTTTTCTTAACTATTTTGATCTTCAGTTGAATTCACAAATGTGACACCTGCAGATAAGGAAGGCCTACTGTACATGAATTCTTCCTGTGTATCTTCTGCAAAAAAGCTGCCATAGCCATCTATACTGCCATGGATAACCTAGGGTTTACCTATACCACACATCTCATTCTCCTTACAATTTAGTTTTAACTTAAGCAAAAATTACATTCAACTATGTTGCCACCTAAATTTTCTATCAAAAACTTCTCATCCAACCATCCTTTTCCTTATCTGTGATGCCTAAGCTCAAATATGGCTGTGCTGAGTAAGGTAAATAACTAAAGGAGGACCTGCTTCACAACTGACGGTTGCCTTCTCTGTAGTGACCAAAGATTCTCAACTTACTTTTATCACTGTTCAATACGATAACTATTTGTGATTTTTCACAAACAGTGAAAAGTACCCTGCTTTCTCATATCATTTTCAGCGATCTGTTATAAAATGCTTATACTCCTCTATATTATATAGGTTCAATATTATTCATTGCAAAGTAATTAACCCAATTTACTCATAATTCATCAACACAGCTTCTCACAAAACAATAGAAACTGAATATGTTCATATTCAAAATGTCTTTTTAAAACTTTAAATTAGATTCCTGTAACAGCCTTTATCACTTTTAGATATAACCGCAAAGGCAACTGAAATATCCTAATATTAGCTGTTAAAAATTTTTTTCTAAGTAAAAGTACATTAAAATAGGAATTTATTTTAAATAAATATGCTTAGTACTCTCTGTCAACTAAAGGCAACTTAGCTTAGTATTACAGATATTTTTCTATGAATTCTGAAATTTACACAAGGAAGCTACTAGTAAGAATGAAACTAACCTGTTTAATATTACTTGTCCAGAGTAAGTTGCACAAGATACGATTTTGTTACAATTATATAGTGACATGGTAAATACCCACAAAATTTGAGGATGGGAAGAATGACTGTCAATTGGTTTTAACTTAAGCAGAAGCTGCATGAGACTAAATATTACTATTTTCTTATTATTCATCCACAAGTTTCCAGATTATGAAAAAAACCATAAAAAAATAAAACCAAAAACTTGGGGTCTAACTTACAAAGAAATCCTGAATGGACTAAAAAACTGAAATTGATTAGGATTTATTTAACCTAAAGCTAACAAGGATTAATTCAAAAAAGTCTTTATTAAACTCTGTTTAAAACATATATAAACAGACTGACAAAACAGAAGTCAAGACATCTCTTCTCTGGCAATTTCCAAAAAGAATATAAACTAATGTGGTGGTTTTAAATCTCGCAAATAGCTGTATAGAAGGAAGCAGATGCAACAACCAAGCTCTGTTCATATATTCCAAACAGATATACACAAATTGAAAAAATAGAAGTCAAGACATGTCTTCTCTGAGAATTTCCAAAAAGAATACAAACTACTGTGGTAGTTTTAAATCTCACAAACAACTGTAGAAAAGGAGGCAGATGCAATACCCAAACTCCCTTCATATATTCCTAAATCATTTGATCATTACCCAAAGAATAAAGCTTCACATATTCTCTAACAATTCAGGATATTTCAACCACCCAAATTATTTCTTAATGTTCAGTGTTCATAAAAACAAGTCACAGTTGTAATCAGTAGGAAAATTTTTCCAGCAATCTATCCACAATACCTTAACTATGATTTATTTTTGGTATTAACTAAATGTTGTGCCTTTATTACTTAGGCCTATTTCATCCTTGAGTCTTAAAAAAAAGCAATTATAATAATAGTATCTTCTGAAGATTATTGTTTTACATTCCTTTTTTTTTTTTTTTTTTTTTGAGACAGAGTCTCCCTGTGTTACTCAGGCTGGAGGGCAAAGGCATGATCACAGCTCACAGCAGCTTCGACTTCCCTTAGCTCAGACAATCCTCTCACCTCAGCCTCCCAGGTAACTGGGACTACAGGCATGCACCACTACACCTCACTAATTTTTTTTTGTAGTTTTTGTAGAGATGGGTTTTCCATGTTGTCCAGGCTGGCCTGCAACTTATGGGCTCAAGCGATCCACCCACCTTCGCCTCCCAAAGTATTGAGATTACAGGCGTGAGCCACTGCACTCGGACTCTTCTAAAATTTTAATGTGGCCTTTTTATACTACAGATTCTATCTTCAGAAAGTGATACACACATACTTGTGTCTGAAATAAAAATGTAAATGTTCTTTTTTTTTTTTTTTTTTGAGACGGAGTCTCACTCTGTTGGCAGGCATGAGGCCGGAGTGCAGCAGCACGACCTCCCTCACTGCAACCTCCGCCTCCTGAGTTCAATCAATTATCCTGCCTCAGCCTCCTGAGTAGCTAGGACTGCAGGGGTGCGCCACCACACCCAGCTAATTTTTGTATTTTAGTAGAGACGGGGTTTCACCATGCTGGCCAGGATGGTTTCGATCTCTTGACCTTATGATTCACCCACCTCGGCCTCCCAAAGTGCTTGGGATTACAGGCGTGAGCCACCTGTGGCCGTAAATGTTTGTCTTAAAGAAAGCTTTAATATATTATAAAGCTCTAACTGGAACAAACTTTACTACGACTAATAAAGTTCTGATAATAGCAAACCCAAAATCACAGACCACACAGAGTAGGAGCTATTATTAGCCCATTTTACAGAAAGGAAAACAGACTCCCTCAATAATACTCTGCCTCACAACAATCATATAAAAACCATCATAGGTTTTTACGTGATTGGGAAGGGGAAACTCAGCTCCTACTTTATGTTCATGCCACTTTACCATTAAGAATATTAAGAATCTAGTAAGTTATTACATTTAAAAAAGCTTTTAAATGTCTCAAATTTTAAAAAATGGTATAAGTACCAGTAGAATAATTCTATATTTAAGCAACAATGAAGAATGCTCCTTCAGCCTCTCAGCAACATCATCACACCTAACACTTTATTCATCATATAACCCTTCACACCTAACATATTTTATTCATCATTACAATGACCATGAGAGATTAAAGCTGTTTTAGAGACTACCACACAAAGTTTATATTTCATTGATACTCTATTAAAAAAGGCAATAGTAACTCTACTAAGCCCATTTACTTCATTACATGCTCCTCCAACCCCCAAAAATAATAATAATCAAATCTTGAAAGTACTGTTACCTTCAACGTAGAATGGGAATCCCTAATTCTAAAAGATTCGATACGGTATCTCTTTTTTTTTTTTCCTGAAAGTTGTCTCTAGGTTTTATACTTTTTCACATGAATCAGCACACACTAAATAAATGTGTATCTAAGATACATACTTAAATAAATCCTATCCATGGTTCCTATTCATCTCTTAATTTGAGACCACCAATAATTTATGAAAACTAGTAATTAAACTATAATGAAAAACATAGTAATTTGGGGGCATTTTACAATGTAGTTAGTGTCTCAAATCATCTTTTCAAAAAGAAATGATATCACCACCAATGAAGGGCACTATGGAAAGCATTTATATAATTTTGTAACCTATGTGATTTCTACTCTTCTGTTCTGGAAAATTAAGCTCTAAGAATGAATAAAGTTTAGTGCTGAAATACAATGTACTGCTATTTGTAGTTCAAAATCACAGGTTTTCAGATGGAAAAAATTTCAATGCACTTATTTTTTAAATGAAATAACTGGGACAAAGAGAAATGCCATGACTTGCCCAAGATAACTGTCAACAGGGCTTAAAACCACAATCCACACCTCTTGACTCCCAACGGTTTCACTTAAAAACAACAACAACAAAAAGATGTCTAATAAAGTGGAATAATTTTAAGAAACGCAAGTATCACTATTTTTAAACACAAAAATTATATCATTTTAGCAAAATATGAACTAGGTGGGAGGGGGAAGAAGTCTTATAAGCAAGAACTTAATCAACAAGAGTCCCAAATCCAGCAAAATAATTGAAAATTCTGCTTCAAGATCTCATAAATAAGCAACCATCATTAAGTGACAACTAGAAAGCAGACTTAATAAACCAACTAGATTCAATATTCAACCTAACAAATAACAAAGCTTTCCTTTGTCAAAAAAAAAAAAAAGTTTTTTTCTTATTTTGTAATTTAAGAACTTTGATACTTGAAAGTATCCCTTTTCTTTAAAATAAATCTATTTTTAAAAATGTAAAATCCAATTAAACACATACCCCAGCACAAAAAATCTTTAGCTTCCTATCCAATTCATTTTGTTAAAAATGTTATAAAGTAGATGTGATAATCACAGTCATGTTTTATACAAAAGACAGAACAACCATAAGATATGAGCATGTTCTTTTTCAATCACACTTGAATCTATCAATTTTAACCTGTAAACTTTTAAAACTGCTCTTAAACTGACTTTCCTCTTGACCAAAATTCAACCACTGCGATTAGAACTAGACTGACTACAGATGATCAGTGCCTATTTTTAAATTTACGTGTACAAATATTACACCCCATTTCAAATAGCTATAATTTGAAGTTTTCTAGATATTTCAATGTGATGTGATATATGAGTTCTCCCATTTAAAATACAGCTCAATTTATCAGTTAATGTAACCTATCATTTCCAGGTAGCGTTGAAACTAATGGAACTACAGTGTTTTTTAAACCAATTTTAAATAAATTCAACTTGAAATACAATGTAAAACTTGAAGTTGTAAGAATTAGATAATAGAAAATACTGTTACAAGAGACTTTGCACATGCTGACTCAGATATAAAACAGCAAGATCTACTACTGAACAAAAACAACCCACTCAGAAACCCGATGTTACAAATGTTTTTAGACCTGACTAAATCTCAACTAAAAGGTGAAATAAAGTTAACTCACACACCTAGATATACAGTTTGATGGATAAGAAACCACCTCAAATAGTATCTTGCATCCAGTAGACACAGAGTAGGCAATATGGTAAATGAAAAGGAACAATGAGTCAAAGACCTCCAAATTCTAATAAGAATTTTAAACTGTCTCACCAGTATGCCAACATCACTGTTCTAGAAAGGAGAAAACTCCAAGCAAGAAAAAACACTTCCATTCGAAATGGGTGGATTTTAAGAATAATACACAGATAAAGACAATGCTTATTCTATCTTAAATCTGAGATGCAGACTAGGGATAGAAATTCACTTTACTAATATTTCCTCCCCCTCCTCTCCCTAAAAATTAAATTAACTCAAAATCAGTAGCTCATTTATACTGAAGACAACAAAATGATATTCCTGCAAGGATTAGACATTACCATAATTTGGCCAGATGCCTTTAAGCTGCTTCATTTTAAAAAAAAATAACATTACCAAAAGATTTCAAGAAAACGCAGCAATCCTCAGTGACTTAGTTTTGTGGGTTTTAAACAGATGCACAGATGTAAAAGCAGATGCAAAGACGAGTTTTGTAAAACCTGCCCCATCTTAAAAACGGAGTATTATAATCTTTGTGACAATTTTTTCAAATAGCCAAAGAAGACAAGTAAATTCACTGAAGACTTCTATCAAATATTTATAAACCTAAAACTTCATTTCAAACATTATCATTAGTAAATCTTGAAGTTTACTTCCAGCTCCATTCACTTCGGCCAAGAAATGAACGTTAAGTAACCCAAATCACTACCTGAAAACTAACACACTTTCAGGGTGAAAATGAATACACTGTTAAATCTCCATGTATTCAACCTCGAGCTTGCTTATTTCAACAGCTGTGAACGGCTGTTAACAACTTATATTAAATCACAAGAGATTTATACACAAGTTAGGAAACATACTACATACAAAAAGAAACAAAAGCGATTTTAATTGTCCTGCCTTCACCTCACAAAAGACATTCATTCTTAGCTGGCTGAAACTTCCTAGTCATTACGGTTGTTCTCATGAAGTAACCGTAACTATCTCGAAACAAGTTAAAAAAGCCTCTCAAAATCAATGCATTGCATAAATTTCCAAAGCTTGGTGTGCCCGGTGTGACTGCTTTAACTGTCCAACACACATATTCACACAAGGAACCTACATTAGTTTAGGAGAAAACGTTACAGAAAATATAGCTCCTTTAAAGTAACTTCCAATCACAACACTGAAGTGATAGGTCTACTCCTGAAAGGCAATTTTTAAAAATTCCTAAGATACTCACTGTGACAACCCACAAAATTAAGAAAAAGTTCTTTTTAAGCTGTCAAACAAAATATGTCCCAATACAAACAGAACAACTTTTATTGGCCAAGTTCCATCTCATAGTAAATATGTGGACAAAAATCAAAACTCTTCAGTGTACTCCAATAATAGTTTTTAATTAAACGAGAGGCATACCGTAAGAATTAGAAAACGCCTACTGAACTTCTGGTTCTAGGGAATTACAGGCTCTACACTTCTGCAAAGATGTGTTTTAGTAAATGCAAGACGAACCAATGACCAACTATAATCACACATCAGAACCCTTCCAACAAAAAAACCTAGGACTGAATTTAAGGAAAACAAAATAAACGATAGAGGGGGAAAAAATTTCTTGCCACGGTTCCGCAGCGGCTGGATAGCCTGCTTGTGAAATGCTAATGCCACTTCGGAGCAGTTAGTCACCAGCTATTGTGTAGGGCAGGAGAAAGCAGAGCCGACCGCGCGTGCAGAGCAAGCGAGCGAACGAGCGAGCGCGCTCTCCCTCTTCGCGCCGCTCCCGCCGCCGCCGACTCTCGCGCGCCCCCGCGACGGCACGGACGCGCGCGCCGGCCCCTCCTCCTCCGGCCTTGCACTGCACAACACTCATGACGTATCTTTATTTCTAGCACATTAACAAAATATCACAAATAAATTGTCCGCAGCCCCTGCGGCCCCGGGGTACGAGTACCCCCGGCCACTGGCCCTGCAGCCCCCGCGCCGGCCTCCCAACCCTCCCCGTGGCCTTTGGAGCTTTCACGTTCTAGGGCCAAGTTTTTGTCTCTGTAAAAAATTGCGGGAAATTCAATTTTTATTCGACTCAGGGAAAAGTTTCTTTGCTCTGCGACGTGAATGTCTCACCAGATTCTGGTAGGTCCTGGGATGCTCCTTCCCGGTCCAGTCGGTGCGCCGGGGCAGCAGCTGCGGGGAGAGGACGCCCCGTGAGCCCGGCCCCCGGCCCCTG